AGTGCCGTTGTTCTGGCTCGGCAGCGCCGCCCTCCAGAGCGGCAGTGCCGTAGGGTGAATTTGATAAAAGTTTGAGTGCTTGTTTGAACAGGCCTATTCACCCCCCTCTAGGCCAACTAGAGATCCTACAAATAGGCATATCTAAAAATTTCTACGTAATCTCAAAGTCAAATATCAGTGACAGTCGGAAGTCTCGATAGTTTGGGCTGAAAGTTCTGGAAGCCGGAAGTTCCAACACAAACAGCCGAGAGTTCTAGCACCTACAAGAATTTCACTACAAGTGCTAAAACCCCCACTCCCTAGTGGTAAAATGAAGTGTTGGGGTTGCTCCTTTGACACCGGAAGGTCTCCACTCCGTAGATCGAGTCCAAACCTTAAGAGGAGAGTTGGGGAGGAATACAAACCAACAAGAACAAATATGATAGCATAAATCACAACAACAACAACAAGCACGCTGGACACAAGAATTTATCCCAAGGTTCAGCAACCCCACAAAGGATCTCCTACGTCTTTATTGTTGAGGTGACCACAAAGGTCGGAGTCTCTTCCACCTCCTTGCCTCTCTCAAAGCAACCACAAAGGTTACTTGAGCTTTCCACTAAGAAATCGAGGGTAATACAAACTTTCCAAGACTCTTCAAAAGATGGAAGCTCTTGGGCGACGCCTAGCCGGCTAGGGTTCCAAGAACCCAAGAGTAATAGACGCAAATCCAATCGGCTTGACGAAGAAATCAAGTGCTCAAGCTTGACAAAGTGATTCTCTCACTCAATCTCCTCTCCTTTCACTCAAAACCCTAGGAGGATCGAAGATTGGAGCAAAGGAGAGAGGAGAGGGGCGCCTTGAATGCTTGGGAGATATTTTTGATGAAGGTTGGTGAACAATGAATGAGTGATGCGCAGTTAGAAGAGAGGAGAGAGCTATTTATGCTCATAGGCAAATCTAACCGTTCAGATCTGAGTCGGAAGTTCCGACACAGATCGCCAGAACTTTCAGCACTATGCAAAAGTACTGTTCACGCAGACAGTCCACTGGGCTTGCTCGTATATCGTTAGAACTCCCGGCGGCAGCCGAGACTTCTGGCTTCCGTCGGGACTTCCGGCACCCGGAACTCCTGACTTCCGTCGGGACTTTCGACGGACGAAGGTGCGCAGGCGGGTTGTGGCTAAGTCAGCAAGCGCCGGGACTTCCGACACCAAACGTCGGGACTTCTGACTATCAAAAGTCCACAAACTATGTCCAAGTGTTCGTGAGGTGATTTTGTATCTCTCTTTTAATTTTATTTTTATGCTTGAGCACTCTATATTCCTCAGACCACCTAAACTTGCATCCCTCTTATAGTACGGCTTACCTAAACCCAAAACACAAAAGCTTTGGAGAGCGCTTTAGGTTCGTCCGCTTTTTGCACTTGAAGAATTGAGGGATACTATTTCTTCTTAGATCAACTCTTTTAAAGCTTTCAAGGGACTAAAGCTACAATATATCTCATTAAGATCTCATTAGTCCCTAATTTGAATGTGATCAATACACCAAAACCCACATAGGGGGCAAATGCACTTTCAGTTATAGTGCTATTTTGCAAATATTTCCTATTTTTTTATAAAAAAAAAATAGTGCTACAAGAATTTGGTCCCAACAAGTTTCTTTGTAGAATGACATCCAACTTTTTTACGACAAAAGAAGAATTATATTAGATAATAGCTGGGTACATCAACACATTACAAGCACTTTGGAATACACTACATATATCCAAAAACTGATTTTCATCTAAATTGTACCCACGCTATGAATAGCTCCAAATCTCAAAACCAAACCTGTTTGACGCTTCGTATGGATGGCCACATAGACAAACGCTCGGCAATAGCCCTGAGAACAGATACCCAATGAACGATGGCCAACATCCCTGTAGGCAGAGATAAGAAACTTCGTCTTTCTTGTGTCTTCCTTCTTCTTTCTGCCACGAAGAATGAGGAAGACTGATCTGCAACTTATTCTCTCTAATCCTTCGTCGTGGGTCATATCTAATCACAAGAAAATGGAGTAGAGATCGGAGAAAATTATTCCGTGGCAGCGACATCATCTCCGCCTTGATGCCGCCATCCGGAAAGAAAAGTCTCCATGTCGTCATGCTTGTGAAGTTGCTGACGCCGTAGTTGTCGTCCTCATCTTCAACAGAGCTGTTATGGAGAAAAACGATTCGATCCTGCCCCTAGCCATCATCGGAGAGGAGGGGATAAATCCCCAATGCTAAGAAACTTGGCATAGAGAGACCCTAACCCTAAGGACTCGATCTACTAGAAAACTTATTAAAAACGATTGAGTCCGCTGGCATGCTCTCTTTTTTTTGTTTTTTAGAGGGATTCCGCTGCCATGCTCATGCTCCCACTTCCTCAACTGCTGCCAATTGGGCCACTCCTGCCAAGAAGCAAGGCCCGTAGGCCCATCCGGTTGCAAAGGTTTAATGGCCGTAGGCCCGTGGCTTTGCATACACGTGCGAGAGGAGATGGGCAGCTATGGTAGGCCCATCCGATTGCAAAGGGTACGATGGCCCAAGCCTGTCGAACCAAAACGGCAACCAACATGCCATCGGGACACAGAGAACTTTTGTTTTTAGATTTTTGCAAAGTTCCCTTGAATCTTGATATGGATAAATAGTGGCAAATATGCTTGTTGCAATAAAACTTATAACTTTTTATACAGTCATCTAGATGATTTGTGGCTCAAACATTTATTGTCATCCGTTCAAATACGTCTCGAAATTAAACTGTCTATCGTCACTTGACGCATCTTGAAATTGGACTTCATATAGTCGCTGGACGAATGTTGTTCTAACTCGTGCGAGCATGGGTCATTACTCTAGATCGCATATGGTCCGCGGGTAAAACACATATGACCGTGCTATTAGCATGTTGCACCCACACTTCTTTGCGCCCCCTGCCCGGCTCTGACAGCGAAACGCTGCCTCAGTAGTTGCCTACGATATCCTCTAGCTAGCCCTATCCTAACGATATTCTCCAACTTTGCATAAATGCCCCCTCCACCCCACCCCCCGCGTGCCTCTGCCACCTCCTACTCAACTTCAGCGGTGAAATGCTGCCTCCACTGTCGTTCACAATAGTCATCGGGCCTAATCACAATTTCTATCTCCGTCCTCTCAAGTTGATGCCCCCGCCATCCTGCTCCCACCCTGTATCAGTCGCCATCATCGTCAGTCCGTTGGCCTCTCAGAAACATTCCTTTATAGATGGAGAATATAGAATTTCCCAACCCCAACCCTAATGCTCTAACCACTAACTTGGCTAGGCTCATTAGATCAACTCGACTCATCAGAGGAGACATTGGGTCAGCCATAAGGGCTAGTTGACTAGGATTTTCATCTACCTGGATGGGAGAGAAAACAAGGAGAACTTTTGGCTATCGACGAGTAACTCGCTAATCAATTTGTAGCTCCCAAGACAAAGAACACTTCATCCACCATGTTCTCTCCGCTTCTCATGTTAAATAAGTAAACAAAATACTCTTCAGGATGGACCTACAGGGTGAGTCAGATTTCAAATAGCTAGTGACCGTCCATTTCCATTGAAAAACGCCCTAAATCTGAGGGAGAGAGAGAGAAGGAAAGTAGAGGAAGATGAGAATTTGTGGGGTGTGAACCAATAGAAGCGAGAAGACGTTGGCCCCGTTCGCATTCCCTTAAACCCGGCTTGATCCGCTTCTTTTTTCATCCGGAACAGTATTTTTCTCTCACAAATTTCTCCAGAATTCCACCAAACCATCCAAATTCCTCCAGAACCATACCATCCAAACGAGGCCATAAGGCAGACTCGGCCCTGTGTGCTTGTATGTGTTAAGGGCCTGTTTGGTTGGCCCAGACAACCTGGGAGGAGCTACAATCCCAGGTGTTCGATTTCAACTGCTTGGGGTCAGGATTGCAGCCTGGCCAGCAGGTTGCCTAGGAGGCTCCGAAATAGACACGCCCTAAATGTGCACACGCCCTAGGGAAGGCTTTGCCACAAAAAAACAAAATCAGCCAATTTTGGGAGTCAAGAATGTGTCAAATTACACGTCAGTCCACTATTGTGGACCAAGAAAGATGAATAAAATCCCTAGTGTGTGATTCTGAGCGGAGGGCGTACAGACTGTTTTGTCGGCCCTGATCAAGAACATGGAAGGATTCAGCGATATTCTTTCAATATGCGTCGATTCTGGTTGCAGGTAGTTCATATCTATTTCCTTCTCATTTTGTGGCCGTGAATGCCATGAAAACGTGGACAGTTAGGTATTGGAGCTGATGAAGAAGCCCGCATGTGGGTTACAGAGCTATAGGTACTATGTGTGGCTTAGTAATTCTAGGTGCTTAGTTGATAATATGATTTGTGGAGCTACCCTGCGGGGGCTCTGGAAACTAAGAAACAAGCTTTGTTTTCAGCGTTCTCTTTGGAAGGATGGGAGACTCCTGTTACTGAAGGTAACAGTGATGATCCAAGATTGGAGTATTCTCTGTCCGGAAGAAAAATATCTGGAGCTCAAGTTGAAATTGGGGAACCTATAGATCCTGGCTACAAGACCACACAGACTGCGTGGCTAGCCCAGGTGGATGGTGATTGGGAAAAGTACCTCTACAGCCATGCTCTGGACTTGCAGCAGGCCAACCTGCCGGCTGAAGTGAAAGCTCATCTGGTGAACCACTCTGATATGGAGAAGGCTGCGGAGGAGAAGTGGATCAATCTGTATCAATTCAAATCGGTTTGGCATATGTAATAGGCGTTTTTGTTGTCAGTTTTAGCTTGATGGTTTGGGTCGTTTTCTGCTGCTGTTTGGCTTTTCGGAGTAAACTGGATGCTGTATCTGAACTACACTGTTTCTGTCTTGGTTAATACTAAGGCTGGGGCCTCGCCCTCCAACTCTAAAAAAAAAAAACGGGCCCACTGATCGTCTTCAACTTCAGCTTCCATAACGACCCTTGTGCTACCATCATCATCGCACCTCATCAGCAGGTTGCTCTACTTGTGTATGCCGTCATTTGGTCCCAGATCATCGATCGGCGGCCGCTGTTTGTTGTGATTAGTGACGGACTGGTATGCCATTGCCAGCGCCAGAGCCTGCGAGGAAATGGGAGTCAATACAACAGGTAGCCATGGTTGCCACATCGCTGCACCGGCAGGTTTCTTCGGTCTCACTGAGGCACTGACAGGTTGCCCTACTGATGCTGACATCTGATAAGAACAAGAGGCTATGAGCGGAGGAAGCTTACAATGTGGTCGTGGTCAGGAGGAGCGTATATGCCTGTCGTCACTGTGGTTCTTCTCTTTGTACAGCCTTTCGGTGGGTCCTCAATGCTCTTCAAGCCCGTCGGCACCACCACCACAGGCATACCAACAAGGTTCCCAAGACAGACGTGCTCCCAGTCGGTCACATTGCCAACAAATGCATCAACTGTGAAACTATCTTTGATTTCTCTGATCAACTTGCCCCGTGCTCGCTGCGCCTGTTCATCAGAAGTTCAGAACACAAACACTGTAACTCGGCTCCAATGGAGAACTCGAGACATATAAATGTGCAGCTTAGTTTCCTCTGATAAATAACCTGTATATAGTCCACTGCTGGGATTAACCGCGCACGACGAAGCTCTACTGGCCACTGGTCTTCCGCCTCACAGTCATCATCATGTCCTTCCCGCTGCCAGTTGTCGAAGTGCGCAAGCTTATCAGTGTCCATCGTTATGTTCAGGATGGACTGGACTGATTCGACAGTGTAGTTCAGCTTGAAAGTGTTAGCGAGAAGTTTCCGTGCACGTTCAGTGCACGTTCACACGTCCTAAGGCTCTCCTTGAATGTAGCTAGCTTCGTCAATTATCTGACCGTGATGTACTTGTATAAAGGCGTAAGCCTCTGGTCAATACAATTGAGTCATCCTCATTGTTCTTTCTCCCGCTTACATGGTATCAGCCGCACCACGATCCACAATTTCCGCTGCCTAACTTTCTGCTTTCCTCTCGCCGCCGCCATGAGCTCTTCTTCCACTTCCTCGTCGGGCTCCGACGACAACTCCGACGCTGAGTCGCTGCTCCCACACACGCTCCACGTCCAGACCAAGCCCGCTGCCCCGTCGGTCGTCCACGACATCAACATCCTGAACTGCGTGCCAATCGTCCTCGATTTCAATGACGCGAACTACGTCGCCTGGGCTCGCTCCTTCTCCGCCATCTTCGGTCAGTACGGGCTCCGTGATCATGTCGACGGCACTGTGGCTAAGGGCGACAACGATTGGGTCTAGAACGACTGTGCCATCGTTTCCTGGTTCTACAACCGTATCTCCCCCGAGCTCCTCTCCATGGTCTCGGAGGACACCGACATCGCCTACTCCATCTGGCGCGGCGTCCGCAACCTCTTCCGCGACAACAAGGACACCCGCGCCGTCTACCTCGGCGCCGAGTTCCACAACTTCTACCAAGGCGACCTCACCGTCCTCGACTACTGCTCCCGCATGAAGGTCATGGCAGACTGCCTCGCCGGCCTCGGTGCTCCGGTGAACGACAAAGACCTCATCTACAACATCGTTCGCGGCCTCAACCCTTGTCTCCATCATGCGATTCCACACATCACCCTTCGTCGCCACCTGCCGTCGTTCCTCAAGACACGATCCATGCTGCAGCTCGAAGAACACCGCATCGCCGAGTCCGAGAAGATGCAGGCTGCGGCGGCAATGGTCGCCAAGGCCACGAACACCGGATCATCCTCATCTGCTGCTCCATCTGCGGCGCCATCGGCTGCACATCTTCAGGCCGCGGCTGCCTTCGTCGCCCACACCGTACCCGGCGCGCCCACGTCTCAGGGCGCTACCGACAAACTGCCGGCCATGACGTCCACTCCCTCAGCACCCTACAACAGCGGTCGCCCTTCCATGCCTTCCTCCTCCACCAACAAAAAGAAGAAGAAGAAAGGCGCGCCATCGAACCAAGCGCCAAAGCCTGGCTTCTGGCGGACGATGAACCCGTGGACGGGCATGGTTCAGGCGTGGCCATTCCAGGTGCCACCACGCGCTACGACGGCCGGCGTTCTCGGCGCCCGACCCTCAGCCCCGGCACCCCAGGCTCACGTCGCCGGCGCTTCCTCCCAGCTGGATCCACAGCTGCTCGCCACACTCAACAACATCTTGCTGCACCAGCCTCGGTCCGCCGGTGACTGGTTCTTCGACACCGGCGCCTCTTCGCACATGTCCCGAGGCTCCGGTAACATCTCTTCTCTATCTCCTAACTCTTCCTCCACTAGAATCATTGTCGGTAATGGCACCTCTCTCCCCATTACACACACTGGTTCTTCCTCTATACCCACCACCTCCAATCCTCTCTCCCTGAACATTGTTCTTGTCTCTCCCTCGTTAATCAAAAACCTTGTTTCAGTTCGCGCTCTTACACGTGACAATCCTATCACAGCTGAATTTGACGATTGTGGTTTCTCTATTAAGGATCGGCACACCCGGGAGGTGATTCTCCGCAGTGATAGCAAGGGCGATCTCTATCCACTGCAACCGACGACCACTACATCCATGCACTGCCTCACCACCATCTCTGCAGACCTGTGGCACCAGCGGCTTGGACACCCTGGGAACGAATCCTTCCGTCGTCTTCTTCAGTCTTTTAAATTCAATTGTAATAAGGAGCCATCACATACTTGTCAACATGTCCGTCTCCCGTTTCATTCATCCCAACACAAAACTATTGTTCCATTTGAATTGATCCATTGTGACGTTTGGACATCACCTGTCTCAAGCTTTACCGGATTTCAGTACTATCTTGTGCTCTTAGATGATTTTACGCACTTTGTCTAGACCTTCCCACTGCGTCACAAATCTGATGTCGCCAAACATATCATGTCTTTTCATGCTTATGCTCGCACGCAATTCACCAGTCCAGTATGCGCCTTCCAAACAGACAAAGGACGCGAGTTTGATAACTCTGTCCTTCGATAATTTTACTCTGAGCATGGCATCCTGCTCAGGCTCTCGTGCCCCTACACTTCTCAACAGAACGGCAAAGCCAAACGCGCCTTGCGCACCTTGAACGAGGGCGTACGTGCACTGCTTCTTCATGCCGCTCTTCCACCGACTTTCTGGGTCGAAGCTCTGCACACCTCGACATACCTTCTGAATCGCAAACCCTGCAAACCCCGATCGCTGTCTTCCCCTTTTGGTCGGGGCCATCGACCACCTCTCCAACAACATGCGCCTATGATCCATGGTATCCGGATCTCAGCGCAACCGATGAGGCACCACCGGCGCCGCCTCCACCATCGCCCTCACGATTGCAGAGCGCGCCCCCCACGCCGCATGACCAAGGTGGCACCAGCTCTCCGCCCGCCTCGCCACGATCACCGTCGCCGGGTCCATCCTCATCATCGACAACCCCGGCGCACAGGGCCCCGTCATCGACCACGGCTTCTACTTCATCACTAGCCCCGGTCGCCGCTCCAGCGCCCCACCCCATGGTGACAAGGGCACGGGCGGGGACATTCAAGCCCAACCCCCGCTATGCCAAGATAGCAACCACGGCGGCCATCTCGCCCATCCCGCGCACGGTGAATCAGGCCCTCAAAGATCCCAACTGGAGCAAGGCGATGCAGTCAGAATTCGATGCCTTGATTGCCAATGACACGTGGGAGCTCGTTCCTCGTCCCCACGGCGCCCACGTAGTCAGCGACAAGTGGATCTTCCATCAATAATTCAAGGAAGATGGGAGTTTTGATCGGTACAAGGCCCATTGGGTCGTCCGTGGCTTCACACAGCGAGCGGGTGTCGACTACGGCGAGACATACTGCCCGGTCGTCAAACCGGCAACAGTGCGCACGGTGCTCACTCTCGCCGCTCAGCACCACTGGCCGATCCACCAACTCGACATCAACAACGCCTTCCTTCACGGCGTGCTCAACGAACAGGTCTACGCTCGACAACCTGCAGGCTTCACCGACAACCCGAACCTGGTGTGCCGCCTCTCCAAGAGCCTCTACGGCTTGAAGCAGGCGCCCAGGGCATGGTACCTGCGCCTAGCGACTTTCCTCGGCTCGATGGGATTTCAGCCCACCCGCTCCGACAGCTCCCTCTTTGTTCTGCGGCAGGGCAAGGAGTCCGTGTACCTACTACTCTACGTGGACGACATCCTGCTGACAGCCTCCTCCAACGACCTCCTGCGCTGGGTCGTCAACACCATCAATGCCGAGTTCACGCTCAAAGACATGGGACCAGTCCACTACTTCCTTGGCATTCAAGTTCAGCGCAACGACGACGGATTCTTCCTCCAACAGTAGCAGTACGCCCTCGACTTGCTGGAACGCGCCGGCATGACTGACTGCCGCCCCTGCGACACACCCGTCGACATCGCCGGGAAGCTATCAAGTGATGCTGGCTCTCCTCTGTCCTCCTCAGACACCTTGAACTACCGGAGCCTCGTCAGCGCTCTTCAATACCTGACAATGACTCGCCCCGACTTGCACTACGCCGTCCAGCAAGCATGTCTTCACATGCACGCACCCACAACGGCGCATCAAGGCCTCGTCAAGCGAATTCTCTGCTACGTCCGCGGCACCTCAGCGCTCGGCCTTCATCTCCGGCGCTCCAACAACTCAGACCTCGTCGCCTATTCCGATGTAGACTGGGCTGGATGCCCGGCGCTCAACTTCAGGCTTCTGTGTGTTCATGGGGGACTCCCTCCTCTCGTGGTCATCGAAACGACAGACCACGGTCTCCCGTTCAAGCGCAGAAGCTGAATACCGCGGCGTTGCCAACGTTGTGGCTGAGTGCACCTGGCTCCGGCAGCTCCTGAGCGAGCTTGACTGCCCATTGTCCAAGGCCACGATTGTCTTCTGCGACAATGTCTCTGCTTGCTACATGAGCTCTAATCCAGTGCACCACAAACGCACAAAACACATTGAGCTCGATGTGCACTTTGTACGAGAGAAAGTCGCTGTTGGACAATGGCAAGTTCTTCAAGTACCCACGACACAGCAGCTCGCCGACGTCATGACCAAAGGACTACCGACGGCAAGCTTCAAGGAGTTTAGAGAGACAATCTGTGCGCCGCCAGCAACGACGCTCACACTGCTGGGGAAGTTAGCGAGAAGTTTCCGTGCACGCTCACACGCCCTAAGGCTCTCCTTGAATGTAGCTAGCTTCGTCAATTATCTCACCGTGATGTACTTGTATAAAGTCGTAAGCCTCTGATCAATACAATTGAGTCGTCCTCATTGTTCTTTCTCCCGCTTACAGAAAGGGACCAGTTTGACACCTTTAGAGGGAAGAACATGGACAGCCTAGCATGATCACAACAACAAAAATATGTATCGTGTTTGAGGAGCAAATCAGGAATGATCAATACACAAAACTACAGACAGCTGAGCAGATTAAAAGCTCTGTACTACCTCCATCTCAGCGTCATCAAGATAGCCAACAGTGAGTTTGGTGATGTCAACATGAAATGGATCACCCAAAGCAACCTCGCGAGATGACGGATCACCCGCATCCTTTCCACGAATTGCGTCTAATACAATAGCACAATCTACTGCACTTCTGCAGAAAGGTCCCAGCTTGTCCTGCAATTTAGACTCATATATTCATCACTCAAAAGATCGACAGGAATCTGAAAATGCCAACAAAGAGTTCGCATATAAATACCAAACTCTCAGAAATGCTCATGACATCAGTTCGTGCAACTGTTCCAAATGTTGGGAGCAATGCAGTTACTCCGCATCTAGCAGCTGGATATATTATGGATCCTGCAGTTTCTGAACCAATTGCGAATGGAACCATTCCTAATGCAGTGCAAAATCACAGCGTTCAGTAAATAGTTTATAAATTTCTAGGTTCACACATACATGTCATATAAACTAACCTGCAGAGGTGCTAGCCGCTGGACCTGCCGACGAGCCAGTAGAGAATTCCTCGATGTTCCAGGGGTTTCGTGTCCTTCCCCCAAACCATATATCATCATAGGCAAGCGAGCCTGTGACAAGCTTCGCTACAAGGACTGCTCCAGCCGACTTCAATCTGAAGGAGGATGGCAGACATTAAAGATAGTAACTACTCCCCCCATCCCAAATTATAAGACTTTCTTGCTTTTCTAGATACATAGCTTTTGCTACGCATCTAGATATCCATTATGTTTAGATACATAGGAAAAGCTATGTATATAGAAAAGCCAGAACATCTTATAATTTGAAACAGACGGAGTAGCAATCTAGCCCTGATATCACGAGATAGCCTAAAATATGATACATAAACTGGAAAAAAAAAAGAACAAACCTTTTGTACACGTACGCTTCACTACCAATGACTTGGTTCTTAAACGTCCTTGAGCCCCAAGTGGTCTTGTAGTGTGGTACTGCAATTATATCTTTGAGGCCATATGGAATGCCATGCAAAGGACCTGGAGTCAGGATTTGTCAGTGTGAATTTTTAGCATAAGTGCAAAACATTGGCTAAGTAGCAAACACTCAGTTTGAATACCCTAGTACTCATATAATGGCATAATTAACCCTACAGAGAAAAAAAGACACTAGTCAACATTTTACACCACGGATTCTCATGCAGTCAGTCTATTAGTCATATGAGCACAAACTCCAAGTGGACTTGAAATAGAATGTACTCAAATAGGACCCCGATGAAAATCAGCTGCAATGAGAAGCTATGTATACAAGAAATAATTCTAAATGAACCTGAGGGAAAAGGTACAAGTACTGCCAATAGTAGATAATGCTTTAGAAGCTCAGGCTGATTAGCTATATATATACCAAGATATTTTCCTTGTGCCAGCAAGTCATCTGCTTCCTTAGATTGTTTGTATGCTAAATCTTCAGTATATGTAACAACAGCTTCCAGAACAGGATTGTACCTGATAGATATATCAAGGAGTTGCATTACTAAAATATGTTAATTGTGAGCCACATGCTGCATTCACACAAATCCTATGAAGAATGCACGGAAGACAGAAACATATATATTGACCTCTTTAATCTCCTCAGGAATATATCTGTAAGTTCACATGATGTTATTTGCTTTGTCCTAATAAGCTCTCCGAGCTCGATTACCTGACATATGGATATTGCTTATTGTTTTGAGAAGGGATAATTTTTAATAATCAACATGTGACACAAGATGGTTCAGAAAACTGACCGACATAAATGCAATATCTTCATCATTAGTTGGACGATGTACAGAAGGCGCACGAGGGTACTTGAAACTTCTAGTCTCACTTGTCATGCTGTCACTGCTCCATGACGATTTAAAGAGTAGAACAGAAGGGTTATGCAAACCACCATTCTCTGACGCGACCAATTTCCGATTTTCTCTGAATGCAGGTACATTGAATTCCTTTGCACCATCTTCCATCTCACGTAACTACAAGCAAGGAAAGCAGCATGCACTAAAAAGCAACATTAACATATTACTTCATGTGGGTATAAAAAAAATAGTTCATATATACTTTTGAATAATTGAAGAAATCAGCATCAAAATACTTCATGGAATCCTTTAAAGCAATGACATCGCTAACTGGTTCTTTCTTCAGAACATCTTTTGCAGAAACAAATTGCTCCGTTTCCTGAAAATGAACAGGACAAAGTGATGGTCCAACGCTCCAGGATAAATTGCTTTGCAGAAATAAATAGCATCAGATTTAAGTATTTAACAGTAAGAAAAGTCGTGCCTTCCAAATCTTGTGGTATTTGGAAACAAGAGTATACGAGGGACACCTCCCACTGTTTGGTAAGGGCAACCATTTACATTTTGATGGCCATGCCTGAGTACCACAACAAATAAACATAAACAATAGCGATATAAGAGGTTTGATGAGATGAGGCTGTACATGAACTACTTATGGTCTTAAGATTTGGCACCTGACATTGAGAATAAAAACTAATCTTAAATTCAAATGCTAACGAAGTTTAATGACGTACATGAATGATTACTGTAGTTAGAATAATCTTTAATTATGTTTTAAATGAGTTGAAGCTGTTCATTTTATCATTTATGTCAACATAGAACTCTTTAGTCATGGCCTTTCTGCATAAATGCTGAGATATGTCCCACGAACAGATGTAGTTAGAAACCTTACAGGGCCACTTATCATCAATATAAAATTTGGCACCTGACGTTCAGAAAACTAAATCTTTGCAAAATATGGTTGATGTGATACAAGAACTTATGTAGCACTATAAATGCATAACCACTAGGTACCATGAAATGTATAACCACTATAGCTTGTATATCAATGGAAACTATCCGATTCACTCTTGTAAGTCTATATCATGCTCCTATACCTAGCTCTGTACTATCCGCCCCTTGAATACCTGAAATCAGCTTCTACTCTTTTTTCCCCCTTGAACAATGTCAACTTCTACATGAGAAAAGGGGACCTTGCTGCAATAACAAATTTCAGCGTAACAATTAAACTAATCTATTGGCATGACCTTGACCAGCAGGTCCAATCAAGTTTACTGTACGCATTGTCCTGGTCGATGACCCTGCTGATTCCGACCATCGGTTTGTCAGTTTCTGCAGATTCTATTGCTACGCGAACATTGGGTGCCAAAATGCTGCAGCCTATAGCTGTCGCACATCTATCCAATTGCAAGTTTTCAACCACCTACCCTTTGCCTCTGCTCTTATACTAAAAAAAAAAAATCTTTTGCCTCCGCTGCCAACCGTGCTATGAACGGCGCGTATTACTAGTATATTGCAGCAGCAGCTACGAAGCAACGCATCTCATCTCAGAAGTAATTCAGTAAACCAATGTCAACGACGATGAACGAACCATCTCAATCCTCAGCCAGCGCCGTGGAAACGTTCGGAGCAATTCACCCTCCTCGCTGTGATGCTGTGCTGCAGGCCGGCCATTCACTGGTACTGTGGCCGTAGCAGCTACTGAAAGAAAGCTCACGCCTTTTTCTAGGACTAGGATTGGGGACGCAAAAAGAAAAGGAAAGAAACAAATTCGCGATGAAGCAAGCATGAACTGGTTCGGGAGAGAGGGAGAGCAAGAAGGGGTCATATACCATGGCGAACCTGGCGACAGCAGCGGTCCTGGTCCTGATGAAGCCGCCTTCTCCTCCTGCTGCTTCGCCCATGTCCCCTGCTGCTGGTGCTGCTGGTGCTGCTGGTGCTACCGCGGCGGCGGCAGGGCCTGACGTCAGGATGGCGGCGAAACAGAGGATGGAGATGACAACAGGGAGGTGGAGGGGGCGTGTCAGCACTGAACCTGTGCACCAACCGGCAACGGACGATGACTGGGCAAGCTCGGAAGGCAAGAAGAGGGCCCAAGTAAAGAAGGATCGTCAAGTTCGGCCCAAGTCCAAGAGCGTGCGCTTCTTCGGCCCAGAGTGGCGTCATGAGTGAGTCGAAGGCAAGCGTGTGCGTGAGTCGCCGTTCGGCGTATATGTATCAGAGTGGTAAAGGCAGAGGGTATGAACAATGTATGAACCTCATTTCCAAGTTATCGAGATTCCTCTGAACTCGCCCCCGTGCTCTGCTCTTCTCCCCCAACTCCGATTTCCCCCTTCCAATCCTAGTTGCTTCCTTCCCTCTTCCGATTGTTGTTAACAATTGGTATCGGAGCCCTCCTTCCTCGGCACTGCTTCTCATTCCTCGCCTCGATCCTGGATCATAACTCTCGTCGGCAGGTTGATCGCCGATCTCTCACTTCGGTGTGGATCGTGTGAACCCGTAGGTCCGAGCCGAGGCTGATCTGATTGGCGTTGAATCGGGAATCGGTTGCTCGCCCACCCTACCCTGGAGCCCCACCAAATAGATCACGACCACTTCACCCGCTTCCGCAGAGATCGGGGAGCAATGGAGCCCAACTTCAAGTTGATGCTTGATGAGATGAAATCCATGAAGTCGTCGCAGGAGAGCAGCATCGCCAGCGTGAACATGTCCCTACGCAACCGCATCGGTGCCATGGAGCGCACTCTCGCCGACCGCTTTGGCCACCTCGAGGACGCAACCAAGGTGTTCGACGAATGGAAGCCCACCGTAGACGCATCGGTCAAGGAGCTTCGCTCGGAGATCGATGCGATTCACAAGTCGGAGGACGCCGTGGAGAAGATACGGGAGGAGATGACGGCCCTACGCAAGACCGTGAGCCGCGTAGCTCTCGACGCTGCGCCGGACGCCACATCAGGCGTCCTGCCTCCTCCGCTGGTGACCGCGGCCTCATCTTCCGCCGGTCCCAAGGTTACTGGCCCATTTGTTGGGCACGGCATTGAGCACCATCACCGGGGATTCGAGTTCCAAACTCTGTCCCCGGTCAAGGGTACGCACAGTCACTTCCCTCCTTATACCCACCCTCATCCACAGTCTCTTCCTCGTCCTACTTTTGAGCTACGTAGATCATACTCTAGTTCCATGCTGGATACGGGTTAGGCCGCTGTGGAGCTGAGGTTGGGAACACAGGAGGCACCTGAGCTCTGGGATCCTAACCAATCTAATGACAAACTACCTAAACTGAATTTTCCCAAATTTGATGGCGAAAGCCCACGCCTATGGCTTCGCAACTGCACTGATTATTTTGAGATGTATGCAGTGGCTCCGCGTCGCTGGATCAAGGTATCCACGATGCATCTCACCGCCGCGCGCTGGTTTCCCGCTGTTGAGCAGCAAGTGCTCAGGATGTCTTGGCCACAATTCACTGCCTTAGTGATGGAGCGCTTTGGTAAAGACCAGCACGAACTGCTTATCCGTCAGCTCTTTCACATCAGACAGACGGGTAGCGTTCAAGATTATGCTGGCAAATTCACTTCTATCGTTGATGGCTTAATAGCTTATGGCAAAAACACTGACCCCATCTATTATGCTATGAGATTTGTTGATGGCTTGCGCGACGAGATTCGTACTGTTGTTCATATGCAGCGTCCTGGTACTTTGGATACTACCGTGGTTCTCGCCTTTGTTGCAGGAGGAAATGCTAGACTCGTCGAGGAAGAAAGAGTTGCGTCATCCGGACACGTACCAGTGGGCCAAGCTGCCCCGCGCGCGCCACAACCCCAGCTGGTGCCCGCCAAGCATAGTGAACGGCAGGAGCGTGCGGCGGGAGCTGTCGCCGGTGATGATGGCCGGCGTGGGCGCGGTGTCGACGCCAAGCTGAACACCCTGCGCGACTATCATCGGGCCCGTGGCCTCTGCATCAGGTACAGCGAGAAATGGTCTCGCGACCATCACTGTCCTGAGCAAATTCAGCTGCACGTGCTCTAGGAAGTTTGGGACCTCTGTCATGGTGATGATTGTGATGATCAAGCGATGCCTGAGGATCCCGATATCGATGCTCAGCTGTTCATGAGTCTTTCTTCAGCAGCAGTGTCCTACCGAGCTTCTGCTAGTACGATGCAGTTCTTGGGTGAAGTTCAGGGCAGGCAGGTCCGTATATTATTGGATTCTGGCAGCTCCAATACATTTGTCAGTGCTTCACTTGCAGCTCATCTTCAAGGTAGTTCTAATTGTGTTCGCCCCACCCGAGTGATGGTGGCAAATGGTACTCAGATGTTGTGTGATACTGAATTCAAGCAATTGCAGTGGTCAGTACATCAGTGCTCTTTTGTTTCCGTGGCCAAGGTCCTTCCTCTATCTCAGTACGATCTCATTGTGGGCATGGATTGGCTCACGACGCATAGTCCCATGGAGATTGATTGGAGGTACAAGTGGATAACTATAACGTATGAAGGTACTCAGATGCATTTGCAGGGTCAGTTGGACTCCCTTCCAGTGGGTACAGTTTTACAAATCACCGCAGTGAAAGAAGAAGCTTTAGAAGGCAGCTCCTCATCTTCACCGCCAACATTAGCAGCTTTATTGTCTGAGTTCAAAGATGTCTTTGACCCACCTCAAGGCTACCCACTAGCATGCCACTGTGACCACGAGATTCCTCTCGTTGCTGGTGCTGCTCCAGTGCAGGTTCGGCCTTATCGTTACCCTCCGGCCGTCAAGATTGAAATTGAGCGACAAGTTTCAGAGATGCTGAATTCAGTCCTCATCCAGCCAAGCAGCAGTCCTTTTTCGTCTGCAGTGCTCTTGGTCAAAAAGAAAGACGGATCATTTCAGTTTTGTGTTGATTTCCGTCAGCTGAACGCCATAACAGCTAAGTGCAAGTATCATGTCCCGGTTATTGAGGAGTTACTAGACGAGTTACAAGGGGCCTCCTGGTTTTCTTCTCTAGACCTGACTGCTGGCTACCATCAGATACGTCTGCGTCCTGGCGAAGAACCAAATACGGCGTTTCAGACCCATTCTGGGCAATACGAGTTCCGGGTGATGGCTTTTGGGTTATTTGGAGCTCCAGCCACCTTCCTTAAGGCCATGAATACCACGTTACATCCTCTCCTTCGCAAATGTGTTCTGGT